AAAGCCAAGCACGCAGAATTGAGACAGAGCTTTCGGCAGCCCCCTCTGTGGCCTCCACGCGTGTTGTTGCATCATACCAAACTGCTGAAGGGCTCTCTGTTGTCTGATCTGCTGGTCCACATAACGAAGGCGAGATATTCCAACCTCTTTACTACTTGTTGAACCATCTTGTTCCCTGAGGCTTCTCCTTGTTACTCGAATCTGACCATCTATTGCATCACGCAAGCAACGAAAGTGACGTGAAATTGTTTGGAGGGCAAGTGCTGTGTAGGGTTTAGCTGCCCCAAATCCTGCTATTGCATCAAATGAAGAAACAATGGTCTGCATTTGGTGATAATACTGTTTGTACCTCCTATCAACCTGTGACAATAGAATGTTAATTATCAAATCTAGGAAGATATAGACCATGGGGATGTGGTAGACGGTTACACTGAGACATGCTCATCTTGATGCAATGGTTTACACTATTAAACGAATAGGCGTACAGCTCTGAATTCTTTCCACTTTCTTGCAGTTCACAATTTTCAGATTACTGGCTTTTTATTTGCCCTGGTAAGTTCCAAGAACCCAAAAAGGTAGCGATATGTTTTCGATCTTCCTTTATTAGTGCACATGTGTGTGTAGTTTTTTGAGGGGGTAAATAAATCTAAGACATTTTTGAGAATTTGGGAGGAAATGAACAATGCTTTTGATGAAGTCAAAAACCACATAATTTAGATAAACAGATAAACACCATCATGAATCCACTTTGTTGCATCCATTATGTTGTTCCCATACAAGGAAGAAACCCCCAGAATTTGTAGGCAAATCACTGGAACTTAAGCTTTGCAATTTCATGTCACATTATCACATCAAACTTGTTAGGCATAGCAGGTCCTTCAATTTTGTCTTCCTTTATAGGACCTTCTTTGAGAAATCATGATGCATGCAAATATAAATCTCATCTTTTGTATATGTTCCAGTTAGCAGTACCACACCGAAAAATGCAGAAAAAATCTCATAATCTTCAATTACAATACAATAAAAACATGAAATCTTCAAGTGAAAATGAATGAATTTGGGGGTGGAGGGGGGTTCAAAACACAAAGAAGCAATTTAGCCAAAATCAGCAAGCACTGAAAGGTTTGGAGGTAGGTGCAGAGATTACAAAATAATTGACTATTAAGACCAGAGACATCATTTTTTTTTTTTTCTTTCGGGGGTGGGGGGGGGGAGGGGCTTGAACCCTTGACCTCAAGAGGGTAAAGCTTTCATAAAACAAGTAGTACCATTAGACCAAAAGCCCGTTGATAAAGACTTTAAAACCTAGCAAACCAAACACTTAAGAGGGTATTGGTAATGGTCTCACCTCATCCAGCATAGACAAAAGCTCGGTCATCTTGTTTTTGTAGATCCTGTTTTTCAGCAGCTGAAAGCTCACTTGGTGAGTCGCTCAACGACTCTCGTGGGTTTGAAGACTCTCCATTTGCGGGAGGCACTGAGCTATCATCTTTTGATCCGCCATCAACTTCTTTAGAATCCTTCACCAACTCCTTCTTGGAATCATGCCGCTTCAGAGCTTTCCGGACATTCACAACTTCATCAAGCAATTGCTGTGCTGCCTTTAGGTACTTGAAATTCGGAATGGTTCTTGTAGTTGGCATTCCAAATGAAGAAATATCTGCTTTCATTGAATCCGGACTGCTCGCTAGAAAAGCATGTGGAATGTTTCCAGTATTGCTTGATTGTGTATTTTGAGAGTTCTCATGTCTAAAAGACACATTCCTCCCACAACCCTCGCCGGATGGATTAGGACTCAAGAATGAAGAAAAACCAGGATTATTACTCCTGTACTGCATAGAAGACATTTGAATTCCAGATGGAATATGAGTACTGAGGCTGAGGGATAATCCTTGAGAGTTTTGTCTGCTTTGAAGTGTGTCCATGGCACCATCCATAGGGTGCATCAGTAGCATTTCACTCCTACCATCCCTCCATGTACTGAAATCATGTTCCCCAGTTCGAGACCCCCCGAGATTTGCCATAATTCCTTGTTGTGATGAGTTGGAATCCGAAACTCCCATAGCCATAACATCAATCTGCTGGGAATTCCCTACCAATGTATCCGAATATGAGGCAGCAGAAGATGAGTAGTTCATATACATCATCATATTCCCAGGAAGAACCGATGGTTCAGTATGAGAGCTGGACAGAGGTTGGCTCATATAGAGCATTGGTGCAACATCTCTTTGATTGTTTGAACTGGGGAAATAAGTGGCCATCTCTTTGTCAATTCCCAAACTATGATACTGAGGAATTTGATTCGATTACCTAGTTACTCTGTGAACTGAAAATGGCCATGTATACATTAACAAAATTAGTTAAATAATGTCTGTGATTAGGCCCGAAGAGAGACCACATTACTTTTAATAATTCAAGTTAAACAAATCAAACAATTGTAATCTAACATTGTTTTTGTGTTATGTTACACACGAAATCTGTCGTTACAGGCCAATGTAAGAATTATCAGTTGATGCCGATTCTAAGACCGAAAATAGAAAAAAGTGTTATTCAATTATAAAATCTTTCAACTGGTTCTTAAAAGTGCCTAAAAATGCTCAGGAACATGGACACAAATAATAATTTTATGATTGGATTCTATGAACAGGAAATTCGATATTTCTAATCACCATTTATCAAACAGAATTAGAAAAACAATACTACACCATGGATTTGCATTAACATAAACAGGTTCAAACGAAACAAATTCAAACAGTCACAAATAAATAATGTTAGCAAAATGGAACCTTTGACTACTCTAAGAGCCCTGAAAACAGAATCAGAAGAAAACCCCAGAAATACATAGAAAAATCACATAATAAAGAGCTAATCAAACTGTCAAAACCAAGAAAAACATAATTTTTCTGGATGTCCACCAAGAAGAAAAAGGAGAAAAAAAAGGGGAAAAGGAGAGAGGAAAAAGAAGTGAGAGAAAGATCCATAATCCACAATAGATATTCAAGAAGAATTAGCAGAAGTTGATCATCAAGTCCACAGACCTTGAGAGAAGAAGAGAGAGATGAAAGTAATTTATTTGTCGTAAGCAGCTATAAGAAGATAATGAAAACAAAGTCAGCCGTAAAAACAATAAAATATTGAAGTACCTGAAAACCGATAACAGTTGTTTGTTTTATGGGGAACACAAAAGCTCCGATCGCCGGAAAGATCATCCTTGACGGAACCATACCGATCCCGCGACTCAAACAAGAACCCTTTTGACCTCTCTCTCTCTCATACGCATTCACAAGCATCAACAACTCGAAAAACAGAAAGAAAGAAAGAAATCAGAAACTGAACTTTAGTATATTGAAGTTCAAAGTACGAAAATCATCACCCAAAGACTCTTTTCCTATCATATATTTTCTTTTTCCATCATTCCATCCATATTTCTCTGCGCACGTGAGAATTGCATACAGTCTCTCTCTCTCTCTCTCTCTTCTTTTGTACTCTCTCTATATCTACATGAAAACACCTCAAAGGTTTCTTTATCTATGAACCTCAAATTCTTCCCTAAAAGAAATCATAACTTCCCCTTTCTGTCTTAAATTCCCTATTAATGGTATCGCTTTCTGGCTTTGCTTAGCTTTGCTTTCTTTCTCTCTCTACCCCCTAGTTGTTGGTGCTGTTGCTTGACTTGGCTATTCCTGTTGATGATGTTTGGTTAAGGAGTGCAATCTCTAACTACCAGTTGGTAGACCTAAGCCTCCCTTAAACCTCCTCTCTCTCTCTCTCTCCTCAACCTGTGGATGTCTCCCTCATCTCAAGCATGGATGGAAGGTCTGAGTTGCTGCATTACCCACCATATCTGCATTTTTTAATGGTTAGTTTATTAAAAAGTTATCCATATTCAAATTTTTATTTCCACCGATTATAAGAGGTGCACCACTCTAAGGTGCCCAAATCATTATCTTTTTTGTCATTTTGTTGCATTTAATTTTGGGTTTTTGCAACGGAGCCCTTGTACTTTTGTGTAATGCTGTTTTTGCGACTACACTTCTGTATTTTCTATATGTGCCTCATTGTCAGTTAATGGCATATGGTCCATATTTGTGTTTTTCTTTTCAATGATAAGCATACATCCTTCAGACTGGCACTGCCAACCGACTTGAATTGCCCAAGTCTGTCAAAAAAGTTTTAAATCTACCAATGTACGGGCTGATAATCCAATTAAGCTATTCGAGTTCGGTTTTAATTTGACTTGCTTTAGACTCATTTAAATTCGATTTATTTTTTTAAAAAGTTAAATTTAGATAATTTTTTAGACTCGTTTAAAAAATGAGCTTGATAAACTCGACTTGTTTATATGTCAATACTTGAAATCGACTCGAATTCGACTCGTTTTGAGTTCATTCAGATTCAGTTCATTTTGAACAATTTTTTAAGATCATTTAAAAAACACAAGCTCAAAAGATTCGGGTCGAACTAGTTCAATTATCAACCCTAAATGTGATTATGATTCTTTTCATGGTATTTTTCATCGCTCTAATATCAATATTAAAGGCATATGTCCATTAAAAGCGGCAAAGTGGGTAGGTGTAAATAGTCCATTAAAGAATCCAAGATGATAGTTCAAACAATTTATATCTTTGAGATTATTATCTTGAGGGTTAATTTTAAGAGACATTTTATTTGTTTTAATACTGCGATTCATATGTGATTTCAAACAACTTCAATTACATTACAATCACGAGTATAAAGTATGTGTAATTGAAATCCATCCTAATTTATTATGATGGCACAAAAGAAGATACCTTTTTTTCACCTATGGTAAAAAGATCAATCAAGGGTCGTTGTCTTTTTTATGGTTCAAAGTGTAAACAGACTCAGCTTGCGACCAGTGGACCCCCTAAAGCTAAGTTGGGGAATTTTGGATGATGATGGTTCAAATGATTCGTAATGTAGGGTAAGGCCTTTGCAGCATTGATGCTGAAATTCAAGTACAACTGCAATTTGATAATGAAGAATACACTACTCTTGAGTTTTCTCATCTCGCCTCCTTTTTCGTATTTGTCCTTTTGAGAAAGTCTACAATATTGTCCGTGGTATCGTATCAAAAATTATAATTTTTTAAATATCAAATTTATAACTCATAATAAATAAATTACAATTGTTTAGATAAATTTATGATCAATCGTGTGTCTCATTTCAAAGGTATAACTTTACAATAAATAGTTATAACTTTTGATATGGTAGGATTTTTTTTTTAGAAAGTTATAAACCATGATTCTGACCAAGCCAATAACAAGACCATAAAACTATTGTTACTTGTTTAGGAGGCTTGCAACTGGTACAAATCATAAGTTTGAAAAATGAAATGAAAAAATCTGAGTTAAAAAACTCTTGAAACCATTTAAAATGTTTTTGAAAAAGTCGATTTTTCTTTAAAAATTCTTAGATAAGTCATTTTTTTTTTAGTTTTTCTTTTGTGCTGATAAAAGTTATTTTGCCTAAAAATCTATTGAATAAGTCGCCTAACAAATTTTGGTCCAAACGAGACGAAATTTTTATAATCAATCAAAAAATTATAGTGAATCAAGTTAATAAACGAAATAAAATTTTTATTCAAGAGGGGTAAGAGCAAAATAATGTTAGGCTAATGGAACTCAATAATTCATACCCTGGGGAGTGGGACTGAGATTGAAGAGAAGAAAAGCAAAACTGAGGCTGCCAGAAAGCAGAGCAGCAAAACCTTTTGCATATATCTAGGGCCGGGCCTGAGAGAGATAGAGAGACTGACTGAGACAGTGGGGAAGCAAGAACGAACAACAGAGTAACGTCGGGAATCCCTATGTTTACTTTCCAAAAAAGAAAACATAGAGATTCGCGAAAAGCAAAATCTAAGGTTACATTAGGCAACTGCTTTCATTGGCTGGAGCTGTAAACACATGGACATCACCGACATGGGAGAGAAGACAACGGCACGATTTTTGTGGCCTTTTCTTTTCTTTTAACTTTTGGGTCATATATAATTTTTGGGCTGGAAAATCGCCAATAATTTGAACTTTAAAAATTATTTATTATTTATTATAAATAATTTATATCAAAAAAATTTAGATACCATAATCTTCCCCCACCAACACAAACACGTGTGTTCCGTTTGGTATAATAAAAAATTAAAAAATTTGAGGAATAAATAAAATATCATGTTTGATAAAGAAGGAAAGTAAGAAGATGAATTAACTTTTCTTCCAACTCACTAAAATCAATCTCTTCAAAATCGAAAGAAAAGTGGATGAAAAATTATTTATTTGTATTAAAATGTATCTCATTTGTTTATATATATTATGTGTACATTAATTTCATATAAAAATATTATAATAAAATATGTACATATATATATATTTTTTAAAAATTAAAATTAAAATTAAAAAAATATTTTTTTCATCGTAATTAGGAGTGAAAATTTTTGACTCAACATGATGACATAACTTGAACTCGATACAAATTTTATGACACGAACTTGATTATAACCCGACACGAACTTGAAAATGACCTAACACGCGAACAAGAAATATAAAAGACTCATAATTTTATGACTCAACACGAATTTGACACGACACGACTTGATTGTCAACTCTAATCTTAGGCATCACAAAAAAAAATTAGTCATTTTTATTTTCCATCTATTCAACCAAAAAAAAAAAAAAAAAGTGTATCATTCCTATTTTATATCCTTAAAGTATAAAAAATATATCTCTCATATTTTCTATCTTATATACTTTTCATCCTTCCTACGAAACGGAGCAATAATCATAAGAAGGGTCCACAATCAAAGTAAGGGCAACACCAAGCCGATTGTATTACTAATCAATATAAACTAATTAAACAAATAAAATGAACTTCAACATTTTCAGATAAAACAATTATTATATATAAAGAATAATTTATTTAATTTTGTGTAATTCACTTTTACTTTCGCTTTTTTATCTAATAAAAACTTAAAATAAATTAATATACCTAAATACAATCACCATATTCAATATAAAAAGTAAGGAGTGTCCAAATACAAAAGTTTTTTTTTTGGGGGGGCGTAAGTAGAAATCAAAAAGTTTATTAAAAACTTAAGCAACTGTTTACACCAAACTTTGTTATATAAAATCTTATCACCGTCAGACTATCCTCTTAACCTACACAATACCAAATTTTCATAAATACAGTTCCTTCTAGCATCTATACATAAACATTGATAATCGAGTCAAATTACTTATACTTGGCTCGGGTTTAATTTACTTTGAGCTTAGTTCGGGCTCGATTTATTTTTTAAATTAGTTGAGTTTAAACAATTTTTTAGAATCGTTTAAAAAAACGAGTTTCATATATTCGGCTCGAGCTCATAAAGTTCGATTCTATTATCAATCTTATCTATCTATATCATTATGTATTTTTGTTATTTAATAAAATATGTGTATGTCCTTCGCTTGTTCAACTAAATGAAAGATATTAATAAAAGTATCAAATCGAATTGCCAACTGTAATCATTTAAATTAGCATAGTTGGTAATCTAAATGCTAGTATTAAACTAATAATTCCAACAAAACTTAGGCAGCTGACAAGCAGGATACAACCAAAATGATATGACACTTGGCAATATATTCATATTTAAAATTATTTAAATTTGAAAAAATATCAGCCACACTCCTAATTTGTCATATTTTCAAGGATACCTTCTCTATTTCTGAAACTTCACTAACACTCTTTATCAGCCTGTGTCAAGTGCCGTTGATAATGAAAATATATATTTTACCTTTATATCCCTTTGTTTGAGATTAATTTACAAGCATTTCTAATCGTTAGATATATCTAATAGATAAAAATAAATTCTACAATTTAAGGAAATTAATATTTTATTATTTTTTCAATCGAATATGCAAGAATTAAGGTAGTGTACATATATTGATATTTGTGGTTTAAATATGCAAAAATCCTCCATATTAATTTGTGGTTTAATACAATTTTTATTTTAGACATTATTCATATACGATAGTATACACATATTGATATTTTTTAAGATTATGTATTTTGAACAAATTTTATCATTTTTCTTCAAAATAATAGATAAAAATTAATTTCAAATTATATAATTCAAGAAAAAAAAAAAGAAGAATAAAAAATTGTTAATTGATATAGACATTGTTGCTAGTGTATAAATGTGTGGGATTAAACTTCAAAATAAAAAACTTCAAAAAAGAATAAGTATGAAAGAGAAAAAAATAAAAATACAAAGTAAACCATACTTAAAAAAAATTAAGAATAAAAATATTTGAAAATAATATTAATTGAACCTAAGATTTTTGACAAAGTCATTATAGGGATTAAATTAAAACTTGTCAAAAACGGAGGGTGAAGACAAAGTCAAGCAAAATGTTGGGGGTAACAACTATAATTAAGCTTAATAACAGCATTGTAACACGTGGCCTTTTTTTGGTTGTGCACTCACTTTTAAAGTAGTTTCCCTTCAATTATCAAGCACTGGCGTGGAATGTGGTCCCCACCTTAGCGCTAGAGTCAAACCTACACACATAAGCAACTAAATTGATGAGGAGCATATATGCTCTCATAAATGGAGATTGGTCCCACTCGTTGGTGATGTAGCGATGGGGCCCTCCTGGCATAGGATAACGCTTGCTGGGTCCCACCAGTGGCCCAAAGTCTAGAAAGCTTTTTGTCCTA